AAAAGCTTTTCCTGATATTAACTTTGAGTTGACATGCCATTCACTGTTATATTTAATTACAGTGCTTTATTTTCAGCAACAGCTTCTTTTCAAAGTATCATACATTCTAGGCTAAGGGAAGGAACTCAAATTCTGGGTCACTCGCTGTGATAATATATGAATTCAACCATAACAATAACTGAAATATGAAAGGATTATGGCACATTTCAAGAAGAATACAATGAAGTGGGCTGAACTAATAAAATCTCCACTTCTGAAAAAAAATAAAGAGGAAAGTGCTGAAATTAATAAATGCTTTTTTATTTGCTTAAAAGGAATTTAATTTGAAATCTACCCCTTCTGCCAACTCAATTTAAAATCCACAAGGCCAATAAGAGATAAAAGAAATTTTAATCTAAATAGTAGTTTCATCCTGAAAATAGACTTATTATAGGATTGACATTACAGTCTTAATTTTATTTATTTATTTATTTTCCCCCCAAAGCCCCAGTAGATAGTTGTATGTCATAGCTGCACATCCTTCTAGTTGCTGTATGTGGGACACAGCCTCAGCATGGCTGGAGAAGCGGTGAGTCGGTGCGCACCCAGGATCCGAACCCGGGCCGCCAGCAGCAGAGCGCGCGCACTTAACTGCTAAGCCACGGGGCCAGCCCCGACATCACAGCCTTAAAAATGGTGCCAACAGTTTGATACTTTCATTTAGATTGTTATTATTTCCAATGTAAGAATTCTTAATGTATTACAATATCTTAAAATACAGACTTTGAAGGGCAAACTCATAGTCTCAAAGTTAATCTATGTTATTGTGATAGGCAGAATTCTAATATGGCTTCCAAGATTTCTGCCCCCTGGTATATACATCCTATATAATCCTTTCCCCTTGGGTATGGGCAGGACCTGTGAATATGTTAGGCTCTCACTCTTGTGATTATGTTATGTTAGATGAGAAAGGTGAAGGGATTTTGCAGATGTAATTAAGGTCCCTAATTAGTTGACTTATGAGTTAATTAAAGGGAGATTATCCTGGGTGGGCCTGATCTAATCTGAGAGTTGAGGCCTTCCCTGAGCTCAGAGAGATTCTCCTACCAAGAAACAAGCTGTCGTCAGTTTTACAAAACTAATTTTGCCACCACCCACCCAAATGAGCTTGGAAGAGGGCCCAAGCCTCAATGTGACTGCAGCCCCAGCTGACACCTTGATTGCAGCCATGTGAGACCCTGACCAGAGGATTCCTCTAAACTGTGCTCAGATTTTCTGATGCACAGAAACTGTGAGATAATAAATGTACGTTGTTTTAAGCCACTAAGTTGGTGGTAATTTGTCACATGGCAATAGAAGACTAACACAGTTATATTATACCTTTTCTGTGCTGGTTAACGCTATGGTAACATGATTTGACTCTATGCATGTGAAAATTGACTGAAAAGTTAGTATTACAACCAGACTCTACTATAGCAATATAATATATCTATTGAAAGACACGGAAAGAATTAGTCATATCAGGAAAGAGGGGTGATAGGTGATATAGTAGGGCTGATGTGGTCAAACCAAGTTAAGATGGAACAATTTAAAACACAACACTTTACAACAGAGATTAGTAAGTGATTTTTTCCAACTTGGATAGAGAAAGGTAGGGACCAAAAGGTGGATAAAAAGGGTAACATGATTTAACAATAATTTCAGGGCCGGCCCCGTGCCTTAGTGGTTAAGTGCGCGCGCTCCGCTGCTGGCAGCCCGGGTTTGGATCCCGGGCACGCACCGACGCACCGCTTCTCCGGCCATGCTGAGGCCATGTCCCACATACAGCAGCTAGAAGGATGTGCAGCTATGACATACAACTATCTACTGGGGCTTTGGGGGGAAAAGATAAATAAATAAAATCTTAAAAAAAAACAATAATTTCAGTGTGGGAGAAGACAGAAATATCAGAAACAATCTTGAATCTCCATCTTGGAGACTGGGGAAATGGCAGTACTATCAACTGCCTAAAGAAGTATGCAGAGAAAATAACAGGGTATATTATCCTCATTTGCTGTAACCAGGGCTCAACAAACTATGGCCTGCAAGCCAAACAGTCCAGAGCCTGTGTTTGTAGATAAAGCTTTATTGGACACAGCTGTGCCCATTCATTTATGTATTGTCTATGGCTGCTTTTGTGCTACAGTGGCAAAACTGAGTAGTTTCAACAGAGACTGTACGGCCAGAAAAGCCAAAAATATTTACCATATGGCCCTTTAGAGAAATGTTTTGACCACGCCTGCTATAAAGCATAGTATGCCCAGAGTCCCTGGCACATAGCAAGTTGCTAAGAAATGTTAATGAATATTATCATTAAAATTTATCTGTAAAGGTCTCTAATAAATAACCTGCACAAATATTACTGAGTTCTTATTCTTCCTTCTGGTTCAAATGTTTTAGAGTCTGTAGCTCTCATCCTTCTTCTGCCTTCTAATATAGGAAATTTAGATAAACGATTGGTGAGAGTGGAAAAAACTTAAGATTTTAGCCAGACATTGCCCAAGGATGTAATTCATAGACTATAAATCATATAAAGAGGTCAAGCAGATAATATGCAAAGCACGCAAACACATACTTTCTGTGACAGCGAATGCTCTTGTCCCTCACTATACGTTCTTCCATTCTCCCTTTGAATAACAGATGTCCCCATTGCCATCTGAAGTTTAGCTAGGCACATAGCCATCCAACTACAGACACATTTTGCAGCCTCTCTTGCAGCCAGAAATGGCTAAATGCTTAAAGTTCTCACCAACAGATCTTGAGCAGAAGTCTTCTATGACTTGCGTAAAAAGGAGATTTGCTTGCCTGCTGCTACCTGCTTCCCACAGGGTGTAATGAAGGCAAGAAGGTCAGTCAGCTTCAACCATGAGGACAAAGATAGCATCATAAAAGATGGCAGAGCAAGAAAATGGAAGGAACCGAGGTCTCTGGCTGATCTTGTGGAGGAAAGCTTGACTATTTACTCGAGACAGTCATGTGAGAAAGACATAAACGTCTATCTTCTTTGGGCCACACATTTCAGAGTATCTTTATCACAGCAGCACACCCTATATGTTAATAAACCCTCCAATGTCATTCTCTCCAAGGTCACACAGTTATATATTAAATGAAGCTCCTATAATTCCTGCCTTTGCAATGTAATTTTTCTGTTATGTGGATATAAGGGTACTCTGGGAAATTCTGGTAAAGACTCCCTGGTTTTTAATGTGTGATGAGTCAATTGGTCTTTTTCAAGTTCACCAGACGATGACAAAAGATAAAATTATGCTGAAAAAATCTTTGTGCCCTTAATAATCCAGAGAGACAGCGAGAACTCAGTATGTGCCAATTAATCTGTTCATCACAGAAGGAAGTGGAGAGACAACGGTTTAGTATACTTTCAAGGGTGTTGAGCAGAGAAATTAGAGAGTTATGAGTTTGGGAAGACACTCAACAGAGTAGTTAATGGGTTGCAAACACAAGGTCTCAATGTCTAAAAGACCTTACCTCTTAGCTGCCAATGTGTTCAGGCGTGATGACTCGGTTTCTGTTTCTCTGAACATCAGTCCCAGGGTCTGCATAATTTCAATGCATGCCCTAGAAAACAAAGGGAAAAAAGCACGGAAATGGCATGATTTTATTACAAGTTCAGAATGCGACAAAATCCGTAATCCTTAATAGAATTGCACTCAGATATCCATGTGGAAAAAGTACAGGAAGGACATTCTGTATATCAAATTGCCAACACCGGTTGAGTGCCCACTCTGTGATGGCTACATGGTAAGCACTCAGAAAGATTTGTTGAATGAATGAATTAATAGCTAGATGTCAGGATTAAAAGTCATTTTCATATTGTTCTCTTTACTTATATTTTTTCCAAAGTTTTTATGATAATCACACACTACTTTATTATTAGATTATTTTTAATAATTTTATTTTCAAGTAGGTAATATTTGGCTCAAAATTTCAAAGGTAAAAAAGAAAATGCAGCGAAAGGTGTCCTTCCTCTAGACACACATTCTTCCCCTTTTGGGACAGCCAATATTACTAGTTTCTTGTGTAGTCTTTCTTTAAAAATTAAAACAAAATGAATGCTATTTTAAAAAAATCTATGTGAAACAAAACTTGCAGCACCATTCATCATTAATACAGTATATATTTTGTCCTGTGCCTTCTAGTTATCTTTAACACCTGAGGGGAAAAAGGATCTATGATTATCCAATTAGTACTTACACCAGTTCATCAGCCCTTCGGCTTTTATTCTGAAGTGCGTTCTTATCCCTAGACTCTGGCAAGTACTCACGAAGTTTGTTCACTAGGAAATAGAAAAGGTCACTGGTCTGTGAAAGCAAGCAGGAAAGAAGATGGTCATTAAGGCATTGGTTGGTGAAACTCTCTATCCTTACACAATAAAAATATGAAGAAATGATTTGCTCCTTGATTAGGGAGGAAGTGAATTACAGTGTCTGTCATTAATACTAGCATAACCTAAATGGAAACATACTTCTGCTTACGACCAGGAGACCACTGTCCTGGTGAATAGAGCAAGAGCTAAGCCTAGGGGGTGACGCTGGGCGATGCCTTCTCCGCTCGACCATCAGTCTTGAAGATCATCCAGCAGCAGGTGTATAATCTCAGGCAGGTCATTCAGTTACCTTGCAATAATATATTAAATGGGGCTACCATAATCCCTGCCTTTCCAAAGTAATTTGGCCTTTGTGAGGATACAATGAAATAATGGCTAGACAAGCTCTCATTTTAAAATGTTTACTAATACGAAAACAAATGTACAGCACTAGTGTAGCTAATGAAGATGGTGCAGAATGACAGTAATACTTCTGCCAATACTGTGGAAATGTGGACTGCTATTTCTGCCAAAATACACGCTGACTTAAGAGTGGGGAACTAATTTTTTTTGTGTTCCTGTCCAGTCTCATGAGATAAATCAAGCATGAAAATCAGCACTGGCCCATGAAATCAGGCAAGTTGGTACTAATGAGAAGTATAATGTGATGGCTTCTCTTTTCTATTCCTCTACCGTTCATTTTTTTCCCAGGACTTTTGTTTACTAGTGGCAACTTAGACTCTGTTTAGACAGGTACAGGTGTGCCCTTCTTTAGGTGAGGCAGCATGAGAAGAGGCTGAGGATGCCAGTGGAGGGAGAGACAAGAGGAGGAGGAGTGGATGTACACCGGGGCCTAGAAGTGCTGGGGTTTACCAGTGCCTTATAAATTAGCAGAGGGCGGCAGCTTTACACACTGACTCTGGAGCCACATTCTTTATGTTCTAATCTCAGCTCTGCCCCTGGTTAGCTGTGTGACATTTGGCAAATTAATTATACATTCCGTGACTCAGTTTCCTCATCTCTAAAATGGGGTTAATAGTATCACCTCATGGGGTGGATGTTAGCATTAAATAAGCTAGCATCTGTAAAGCCTGAACAGTACTTAGCATATCATAAGTGCTTTATGAATATCAGTTGTTATTGTGGTCTCTCACCTGCTCAGTGGTTCAGGAATTTTCACCCTTAAAATTCTAAATCTTGACGGGGGTGGTGGTTATGCAGATATATACATTTGTCAAAACTCTTTAAACTTACCCTTAAAATGGGTACATTTTATTGTATGTAAATTATACCCCCAATAATTTCTCCATAAAAGATATACAAATGGCCAATAAGCACATGAAAAAATGCTCAACCTCATTAATCATTAGGGAAATGCAAATCAAAACCATGAGATACCAGGACTGGCCAGGTGGCGCAAGCAGTTGAGTGCTCACGCTCCGCTGCAGCGGCCCGGGGTTCGCCGGGTTCAGATCTCGGGCGCGCACCCATGCACCGCTTGTCGAGCCATGCTGTGGCGGCGTCCCATATAAAGTGGAGGAAGATGGGCATGGATGTTAGCCCAGGGCCAGTTTTCCTCAGCAAAAAAAGAGGAGGATTGGCAGATGTTAGCACAGGGCTGATCTTCCTCACACACAAAAAAGTAAATAACAAGTGTTGGCAAGGATGTGGAAAAATTGGAACCCTTGTGCACTGCTGGTGGGAATGTAAAATAGTAAACAGTATGGCAATTCCTAAAAAATTAAAAATAAAATTACCATGTGATCCAACAATTCCACTTCTGGGTATACTCCCAAAAGAACTGAAAGCAGGTTTCAAAGAGATATTTACACACTCATGTTCATAACAGTATTATTCACAATAGCTAAAATGTAGAAGCAACCCAAGTATCCATCAATGGATGAATGGATAAGCAAAATGTGGTATATACATACAGTGGAATACTATTCAGCCTTAGAAAGGAAGGAAATTCTGACATGTGCTACAATACTGATGAACCTGGAAGACATTATGCTAAGTGAAATAAGCCAGTCACAAAAAGATAAATATCATATGATTCCACTTATATGAGATATTTAGAGTAGTCAAACTCATAGAAGCAGAAAGAATGGTGGTTGCCAGGGGTTGGGGGAGGGGAGAATGGGGAGTTATCATTTAATGAGTATAGTTTCAGTTTTGCAAGATGAAAAGAGTTCTGGAGACAGATGGTGGTGATGGCTGCACAACAATATGAATGTACTTACTTAGTGCCACTGAACCATACACTTAAAAATGGTTAAGATGGTATATTTTGTTATGTGTATTTTACCACAATAAAAAAAACTGAAGAAAGAAAAACCTCATGGAGAAAAAATAAGAGGTTAGGAAAGAACATAAATAGAGAACTCTTTCATTCACTCATTCACCCACTGAACACATAACTATCTATTGCCAGCTATGCGGCAGGTGCTGTGCTAGGTAATGAGATAACATCATGAACAAAACAAACACACATGGTGTCTGTACTCCTAAAGCTTACAGTTTAGTCAACCTATGAAGAAGTGTTCTCAGAATTTAAAACTTTACTTGTAGGGGCTGGCCCCGTGGCTTAGCGGTTAAGTGTGCGCTCCGCTGCTGGCGGCCCAGGTTCGGATCCCGGGCACGCACCGACACATTGTCCGGCCATGCTGAGGCCGCGTCCCACATACAGCAATTAGAAGGATGTGCAGCTATGACATACAACTATCTACTGGGGCTTTGGGGAGAAAAAGGGGAAAAAAAGGAGGAGGATTAGCAATAGATGTTAGCTCAGGGCCAGTCTTCCTCAGCCAAAAGAGGAGGATTGGCATGGATGTTAGCTCAGGGCTAATCTTCCTCACAAAAAAAATAAAATAAAATAAAAAAACTTTACTTGTAATAAAATTTTCTAAAAGATTAATTACATATACATATATATATATATTTTTTTTTTTTTCCCCCATCCTCTCACTCAGGAACCAAAAATTAGAGCTGCCGCTAATCTCCCCACCCCAGTGTGGGTTCCTGAGGGAGCTTCACACGACCTTATGTTCTCCAGAGAGCCCAGCGCAAAGCTGGAAAACCACTGCTTTAGCTTAAGGCTGTGATAACCATTTAAATTAAAATGCTCCTACAAGAAGATACAAATGTTGACTTTTATTAGTCATATACATTAACCTTGTTAAATGAGTATGAGACTAGATTTTGGTCGAAGATTAGAGAGAACAAGGCTACCAGGCCTTGATGGTGGTGGGGAGGGCGTGGGGAAATCCACTAAAGAATGGAAAGACCCCAGACAGGGACACTGCCCATGTGCCTTTTATCTCCCTCTCTACTCACTCTGGCCTTTCATTTTCAACAAGTGAATTAGAAGATCTTCTATTTTAGTCCATCTAAGGACATGACATTAAAGAACAGCTACAGTATTTTCAAGTAAGGAAGAGAACATGAATGCTTTATTCCTAGACTTCTGATCAGGTTAATCATTATGAATTGGGTGCGGGACCTGGTACGTGCATGGCATTGTGTCAGGCCTTAGTGAGAATGCAAAGATGAGTAAGACACATGCCTGTCCTGAAGAAGCTCATGGAATATTACGGTAAAAAAGAAAAATATACCAATAACTATAGTAAACAGGAGAATATCCGTGCTCATTCATGAGGGTAGGATCCGTATCTGAGTCATGCTTGCATTTCTGATGCCTGTTACCATGCCTGGCACAGAGCAGGCATGCAATAAGTGTTTGCTGAATTGTTAAAGAGAAAGTGCCATCAGAGATGCCGTAGAACCGCACTGGCCAGTACGGTAGCCACCGGCCACATGTGGCTATTTACATTTAAACTGATTAAAACTGAATAAAATTACAATTTCACTTCCTTAGTCACTGGCCACATTCAAGTGCTTAATAGCCACATGTGGCCGGTGGCTACTTTACTGAACAGTACAGATTATAAAATATCAAAGAAAGCTCTGTGGCACAGAACTGCCGTAACAGAGCAAAGAGAGGAGGGTACCAAAGTTCCCCATTAAGGATGACAGGAAAGGCAGAAGAATAGCACTTGAGATGAGCCTTGAAGAATGGATAGGCCTTTAACAAGAGAAAACGGAAGAAGGAGTAGCCTAGAGATAGCAAACAGCAGGGGAAACGTGGAGGGCCGGAGGACAGGGTGTTCACCCCACCCCAAGTGGCTGGAGCTGTTAGAGGAAAGACGTGAGCGTGGTGCAGTGGTGGGTCGAGTGGGTCAGGCCTAGCTTTGTTCTCTTTCTCTACATCCTTCCTTTGCTCCACAGCCGAGGCCACCTGCATCAGGCCCATTTTAAGACTGGAGATGATCTCCAGGTCAACACTCTGGTATTCAACGTCAACACTCTTCCTCCTCAGTTCTCCTACCAAGACGTCTGCTTTAAATCCGGTCCCCTGATGTGTCCAGTCTGTCCAACTGGACTTCCTCTTTGGGCCCTGTGCTGAGTCCTTTGCCGCTCCTCTCCCAGCTGCTGGCTTCACTCTCGACAACCTTTACATCCTTGCTGCCTCCCCAACCCCACATCCCATGAAGGCCCTGGTGCCAAACTCTAAGCAAGCAGATCCTCCTGGTGCTAAATGTTTGTGCAGACATCTGGGTGTCGCCCACCCGCATGCTGCAGGGCCCTGGTGTTTCATTTTGCACGTTCTCTGTGTGGAGATGACCCTCACCCTCAGGCACTGTGCCTTCTCCGAGAGCATCCACAGCTGTGTTAGTTCTCCCACGGCCTGCCCTATGCAGATGGTGGCCCCTTCCTGATAACCTGCCCTGCTAAAATAAAGGCCACACCTGTCCAAATTTGGAATCTGTGACAGAGGTCATGAGTGGAGAGCCTTACATGCCAAAGCCAAGGTGTCTGTACCTAACTTAGTGAGGAGCCACAGGAGGCTTCTGAGAAGGCAGGGCCACACCCTCAGGGTTACAGATTCAACTGATACCATGTGTGGGATGGACTAGAGAGGTTTATCTGGGTGGGACAGAACACCAATTTCTTTAGCCTTTCCACAGGAACTCCATTTCCATCTTCATAATCACCTTGGTTGGTCATTTTCATTCCTATCCCTGTATTTTACACAATCCTCTGAAATTCTAGAGTCAAAACGTGGGTGGTGTATTCCTAAAAGCATCTATCCAGGACAAGCATTATAGACTATGCAGCACTACACCATCCTTGCCTGTCTCAGTGTTTGGGACATTTGACATACTATTCTCTATAGCTACCCTCTAATTAGGGTGATCAACCATCCCAATTGCTTGGGACTGTCCTTGCTTTTACACTGAAAGTCCCATGTCTTGGGAACTTCCTCAGTCCCAGGAAAACCGGGACAGTTGGTCACCCTCCTCTGGGCAAACCAGGCTGGTTGGCCATCCTACATGTGAAGCACTTAGAACCTAAGAAATAGCCAGGACTGTCTTATATGGTTGGGGAGGCTGTGCACTTCACGACTGCTCTATAAAATGGTAGCAGCTATGTATGAGACCACTGACCAGAATTAGGACACAGCATACAGCCATCAGCATGAGCTCGGCCCTAGGCAGGGCTCACCCCTCAGCTGGGCATCACACCACTACACCTGGGCTTCTCAATACCTTCACCTAAAACTGACAATGAAACTAAGTAAGACTTGGAACAAGTCTATAACTTGCTGAGTGACAGCTAGGAGGCTTTGACTCCCAGGAGTCACCTTTTTTTTTGTTTTTTTGTGAGGAAGATCAACCCTGAGCTAACATCTGATGCCAATCCTCCTCTTTTTGCTGAGGAAGACTGGCCCTAGGCTAACATCTGTGCCCATCCTCCTCTATTTTATATGGGACGCCGCCACAGCATGGCTTGACAAGCGGTGCATCGGTGCGCACCCAGGATCCGAACCTGCGAACCCCAGGCCGCCAGAGTGGAGCACACGCACTTAACCGCTACGCCACCGAGCCAGCACCCAGGAGTCACCTTTTTAAAAATAACTGGCCTACGCTCAAAAGTAATTTTTTAAAATTATATTATATTGTAGGGGAATCTGCACAGAAAACTTGAAATCTACTTTCTCATCTCATTGTCTGTACTCGTACATCTCGCATGCCAGAAGCTTCCCCACTAATGATTTCTCTCTCTTTTTTTTTTTTTGTTTGCTGAGGAAGATTTGCCCTGAGCTAACATCCATACCTGTCTTCCTCTATTTTGTGTGTGGGTCACTGCCACAGCTTGGCTGACAAGTGGTGTAGGTCCATGCCCAGGCTCCGAACCCATGAACCTGTGCTGCTGAAGTGGAGCGTGCTGCACTCAACCACTATGCCACGAGGCCCGCCCTGATTTCTCTTTTCTTTGACTCTGCCAACCCAACCCACGTGAGCTACCATTTTTTTGCTACGACTCTCCTCTCTGCACATCCCCCGCAACACGCATGTATACATTACTGATTACATCACAACGTTTCGTGTTAAAACAGAATTGCATTAAATTTAATCAACATTTTAAAATACAGCATCAGAACACAAGACAACATTTATTTATATTTTACTATATGCTGCATTTGATAAACAGGTGAAACAAATTTTAACGATTAAAAATAAAACAAAATACCTACTTTCCAGAAGAGCCTTTTCAGAATGAAGTTTTTCTGGGCTGCTACTTTAAATTCCGTAATTAAACAAAGTATCTTCCTCAAAGTGTTGTCTTTAAGAAAAAGTTCAGATTTAAGTTGACTGAAGTGCTTAATTTTCTCCTCGGATCTACAGGAAGACAAGAAAATTTTCCATGTAAAAAATGATAAGAAACAGCAGTTGAGGAATATCAATGATTATTGACAGGTTTGTAAAACTTTGTTTCTAATGGAATTTTAATACAGTTTTGTACTTCTAGCTTTATTACTCCTCAGCAATGAAACTTGCTACCCCCAAATTGAACTATTTATTACTCTCCAAACATACTTTTTGCCCACGCCCTTTACTCAAGCTGTTACCACTATCAGGAACTCTCACTGTCCCTGCTAAACTTCTGGCCCTCTTTCGTAGTCTAGCTCACAGTTTGTTCACATACCATTTACCGTAATCCATGAACCATATGTAATATTATTTGCTTAATACTTTTTCTTTAAATCAACTCACTTTTTTTTTTGCCCAGAGGAATTTATTTATAAAGAAAACTTTGTATCACTACTTTACAGAGAAAACCAGTATCATTTGCCATAAATAGAGGGTAACTATAAAAATAGCAGGAAAGCAACACAGACTCTAAGTAGGTGCTCTGTATTCTGAGCCTGAGGCTTGCTCTCTCTCTGACAAAAAGGCAGAGGGGCGGGTGTCAGAGAGCTGCCACTGCTGGCACCAGCCGGGAGCTTCTCCCTAATGAGATCAGCTGAGGCGGAAAAGGGACTCACTTTTTCACCACGGAATTCAGAGTTATGTCACGCCACGTCAGAGTACCACACGAAATCATCTCCCACCACCGACCCACGTGCGCTCCACACTTCAGGCAACGCTGGCTTAGCTGAAATGAGCACCAGCTTCTCCTCAGAGCCTTCCCCAATGCCACCAGGGAAGGGGGACCCTCTCCCATGGCACTTTTCCCACACTTCCCACATCATACTAATCCTGTGTCACCCCACTGTAGTTATGTGCACTTGTCCTGGCCCCTCAGCTGATCTTCAGCACCTTGAGAAAATGTTACCGGGTGAAACATCGTCTCCGGCGCCGACTGTGCTCAGCAGTAGCAGCCTGCACTTCATGGAGGGCTGACTCGCGCAGGCACCTGGGTGCCTCTCACGGACCAGCCCCTTCAGGCCCGGTGAGGGGCTGAGCTGGGAATTACTATCGCATTTATAGCATGGCGGAGGGGTTAAGTGCCCTGGCCAAGCTCACACAACTAGTGCTTCAGAAAAGCAAGGAGAATCACAGTTGAAGGAGAGATGTTTCATGTTCTGAGTAGGTTGATGGAAACTTCTTAGGATTTCTGACTTGAAGCAAAAATATCTTTACCACCTACTGCACAAATCTTGATACCAGCCATTTATCCCAATAATACTACAAGGAATCTTGGTTCTTGCCCACCACCTCCCCCTTTATTTAAAAAAATCTAATGGGGCCGGCCCGGTGGTGCAAGCGGTTAAGTGCACGTGCTCCGCTGTGGCGGCCAGGGGTTCGCCGGTTCAGATCCCGGGCGCGCACCAACGCACCGCTCATCAAGCCATGCTGTGGCGGCGTCCCATATAAAGTAGAGGAAGATGGGCATGGATGTGAGCCTAGGGCCAGTCTTCCTCAACAAAAAAAGAGGAGGATTGGCAGATGTTAGCTCAGAGCTGATCTTCCTCACACACACACAAAAAATCTAAGATGTTCTCCTCTGTCCAATCAATGAGCCTCTCGTATTAACACAAAAATTAAGGCTTACTGAAAAACAGTGGAGATACTGGAGGAGAAATGATCATTAAGAATTCAGTGAGAGCAATCACAGAGGCAGAAGAACATGATTATGTGCATGGGGGGCAGGGTCAGACAGGCTGATCAGAATCCTAGATCTGCCCCTCCTCAGCTGGATAATTACCATGCACAAGTTACCTGGTCTCTCTGTGCCTCTATTTCCTCATCTGTAAAATGCGGATGATGATGGTACCTATCCCATTGTGCTGTTTTGATACGTTAGCGACAGAATTCTATTTTGAAAACCCAAAGAATATTTACTCCTTTGAAACTGAAGGTGCCTTGCAGGCAGAGACCATTTCTTGTGTATCTTGTGCATACACTGCATCCCTCACAGTGCATTTTACATCACTGCATTTTAAATATGTTGCCTTCAGGAGTTAACTTTGCAAGAAATATGCTTTTCCTGAGTCAAGATAGTGGAAGAACTCTTCTTCTTGCCTTCAGGGATAAATTTCAAGCCACATGTATACAAAGTTAGAGCCTATTTTATTACACAATTAGCTTTAAAATCACATTAAACAAAGTACCAAAATTAAAACTGATACTTTTTTAGAGTAAACATATGAAAACATGTAGGAATTCTTTTTTTTAAAGAATATTTTAATGTCATTCTTTTTTTTTTTTTTTTTTTTTTGCCTAGGGAGATTCACTCTGAGCTAATATCTGTTGCCAATCTTCCTTTATTTTGTATGTGGGTTACCACCCCAACATGGCCATGAGTGATGTAGGTCTGCACCTGGGAGCCAAACCTGGGCTGCCGAAGCGGAGCATGCCAAATTTAACCACTAGGCCACCGGGACTGGCCCCACATGCCGAAATTCTAAGCTATCTGTACTATCATCTTTTTAAAAAAGAAATCACAAGCATTATTTTATTTAACCCCTACATACCTCAGAACATATCTCAGAATAAAACCAACATTTTCTTATAAAATCATCATTATCACAGCCAACAAAATTATGAGTAATTCTTTGGTATTGTCTAATAACCAGTCCATAGTCAAGTGTCCTCTATAGTCTTAAAAATGTCATTTTATATTTGGTTTGTTAAAATCAAAATCTAAATAAGATACTTGTTGTATTTGCTTGTTATGTTCATTAAGTCTTTTAAAAACTTTTACTATGGAAATATTCAAACATACACAAAAATGGAGAAAATTGTATAAGAAACCCCATGTACCCATCACCTAGCTTCAATAATTTTCAACATTTTGCCAGTCTTGTTTTATCTATTCCCTTACTTACACACACACACACACACACACACACACACCCCTCTACCTTTTTTAAATTGAGATAAAATATACATAACATAAAATTTACCACTGTAACCATTTTTAGGTGTACAATTCAGTGGCATTAAGTGCATTCACAATATTGTGCAACCATCACTACTATCCATTTCCAGAACTTTTTCATCTTCCCTAACAGAAACTCTGTATCCATTAAACAATAACTCCCCATTTTCCTCTCCCCCGACCCCTGGTAATCTCTATTCTACTTTCTGTTTCCATGAATTTGCCTATTCTAGGTGCCTCACATAAGTGGAATCATACAATATTTGTCCTTTATGTCTGGCTTATCTCACTTGGCATAATTTCTTCAAGGTTCATCCATGTTGTCACATGTGTAAGAATTTCATCCTTTTTAAGGCTGACATACCCACCTTTTTACGTCAGATTCAGGTTTAACTGTTTTAACAAAGATACTTCATAGATGCTGCTGTGTGTTCATATGACATCAAATAATGCACAAAAGTCTGGGGGTCCCACTGAAGTGACATTAAGACCATAATGGGTTTAGTTACTTACAAATAACCCCTCCATTTTGAAGTTCTGCTTCATCTTTCTATCTAATGATGTCATCCACTGGGGACTGTTGCATGAATCCATTATTTCACCAGGGGATGCAAAACTGGTAATTTCCTAATATTGTCAAACCTTCCACATCCATTAGCTGGAATTCTGTAAAATGGAATTTGCCCTCATCAACTTGGCTACTTGGTGACCCCAAACTGATTATAGTTCATGCAGGAAAGGCAGGATAGATGCTTAATTCTCTCCATTTGTTTGCTGATTTGCAGAGTCAGGAATTGGTGTGCTATTTACTTAATGGAGTTCAATGCGTTTTTATTTCTTTCTGGGGGGGGCGGAGCAAGGAGGACTTTCTCTCTATGATACATCATTATACATTTCAATTTTTGTATATTCATTGTGCTTCAACCATCACATTCATTACTTTTTCTGATACTCAAATTGTCCCATCTTTGGCTATTAGGAGCCTCTTCGTGTGGTCTCCCGTGTCTTTTAGTTAGGGCCCATTACTCTTTGCCTTCTGGCACAAGCTGTTTCAGACTCATTTTATATACTTCCTGCCCCTGACATAGAATCAGTCATTCCTCCAAGGAACTTTGGTTCCTTTTAGTGAGGAATGAATATGTGTCTTTTAAAATGAACTTACTCTTAGCTCATCTACATGACTCCCAAACTTGCCCAAGACTGAATTCATTGAGTGCTTTCTATGTGCAAAGCACTGTTTTCAGTAAGAAAAATACAAAGATTGGTAAGACATACTCCTTGCCTTCCAGGGGCTCACAATATACTGGAAGAGATAGTCACATCACAAGTAACTACTTCAATATAAGGCCAACTGTCATAACAGAACTATGAAGTCTGGATAAAATCCAAACTCCTTAGCCTTGCATGTAAGGTCTCAGCCTCTATCTTACCCCATTCATTCATTCATTCATTCATTCTGTGAAGGCTTATTGGCAGCCTACTATGTACCAGTGACCAAGGTACAGACCCTGCCCTTAAGGAGCATACTGTATAACAGGGCCACGCATAATCAAAGAAGCAATCATAACATAGACTGGTAAGAGCTGGGTACAAGATGGGTAAGTACAGGATGTTATGGAGGGGCCCTTATTAGTTTTGAGGGGTCAAGAAATAATTTTTAGAGAAAGGGATGGTAAGCTAAGACTTGATGAGTTGACATTATTCATGAAGGGGAAGAAGAAAAGAAAGTAGGGTTCCTGAACAGGGCCATCCTGTCAGAGCCCAGAGGGAAGATAAACAGGGAGCTTTCTGAGAATTGTGAGTTCACTTGGATCAGGAGTTTAGGGCAGGAGTGGGGGGGAACCCAATAGTGGAGGATGGAAAAATGAAAAGGGACATCAGGAAGGTCTGTGTGAGCTGTTACAGAGTTTAGATCTTCCCCTAAGGGCCATGGGGAGCCATTCAAAGGCTTTAAGGGAAGAGTTATGCGATCAGATTGTGCTCCTAAAAGATTCCTCTGCTGTCATGGAGAGTGGTCTAGAGAGGGGCAAGAGTGAAGGCAGAGGCCAGCTAGGAAAATACCACAGGACGCAGCACAGAGATCACTGGGCTGGAGCACATGGGATTGGGAAGTGGATGCTATCCAGTATACTAAAGAAGTACAATAAACCATGTGGTGATTGGCTGGATGTGGGGGATGGTGAAGGGGAGAGAGAAGGCAAGGGTGACATCCAAGATTCTGGTTTAGGACATCTGGAGATAATGACATCATGCCCTATGGTAGGAAACACAGGAGGAAGGTCAGGTCCCAGGAGGAAGATGCTGAGTTGTGTTTTGAATATGCTGACTTTAAGGTTCCCATGAGACATACAAGAGGGGATGTCTAGTGGGCAGCTGTGTTTGCACCTAAAATCCAGGGCAGAGAGTTGAGGTAGAAGCATCAATGCGATGGTCAGCAAGACAGAGACTTAGGAGAGGCAGGGAGGAGAGACCAATCCCCAGGCAGCTCTCTCACCTTGTCACTCCTTACCTGTAGGGCTTTTGACTTCCCACTGCAGGACCGAGCTCACTAACATAGAGGGGATCTTGTAAAAGAGTGGCTTTCTGGAAGAGGAAAAAGTGGGAAAAGTCAATTCCCCCTACTTGTAGTCAATATCACATATCTATTCTTTAATCCCTTCTACAGTACATGATTTGTTTATATAACTCATTCCAGGGTGTGATAATATCACAAGGAATTGTTTTTCTTACATAGTTTTTAGAAAGTTTTAAACATAATGTTTGCTCATTATGAAATAAAATTATCTATCAAAATCAAACAGTACAGAAATACAGAAAGTAGAAGATAAAGGTTCCCTGTCTCTCCCTACCCTTCCATCCCACTATTCAAAGTACCTTACTATTATCAGTTTGGTTTATATCCTTTCAGGCATATAAAAACATATTAATTATAACATATACACTTATAATACATATAAGATGATATAGTTTTATCGTGTATATTTAATACTAGCTAAATTCTATCACATACATTAATCTCAAACTTTTTTTTTCACTTAATATATGGTGGACAGTTTTTCATGTCTGTGTATACGGATCTACTTCAATCTCTTCAACGATTACCTAGTATTCCACAGCTTAGATATACAATAATTCCGTTAACTATTCTGCTATTAAGGGAGTTATTTTTTCCTTAAATCTGTAGTGTTGTCATTTCCCATTCATTCTTGGTCCTCAAAACAAACAGGCAAGTAGTGTTCAGCAAGTTCTCTAAATAATCTTCTATTTATGTTGAGGCTTAATAGACAGGTCAGAAGGAATTTATGAAATGTTGCTGATTTACAACTCCAGACAAGCTTACCCCTGTCTTATTCCTGATATTTCAGAGCAGGGTGGTGGGTGAGTGGGTGGGCGGTGGGGGAAGTACGTGCTTCTTCTTACTACTTTTGTCATTGCTCTAAGTATTTTTTAAAAAGTGCCTTTTCCCCCTCTTTAAATGTTTATGCTTGCCTTAAATCTAGAATTTTAATTTAGGGGTACTCCTTAGTTATTTAGCTTTCTAGAAGCTACCTTCACAATATATAAAGGGCAAAGAATTGTCATATTTCATCTTTGTAGAATTTGAGATTCTAAACAACCCAAATGTAATTACTTTTGGTGAAAGTTACAGATAAAACAGGTTACTGAAGAAGACCCAACTCTTTGGAAACTCTTAAAATCAGAATGAGTGTTAAATTTCTAACTGGATGGTTTGGGTTAATTTGACCTGAAAGTGTAGAGAGTGTTAACACGTCCAATTCCTTCTCCCAGGAGCACTTCCCTACCTTAACATGAAAGATGATTCCAGATCTCAGGGCACAAGAGATGAGTTAATCAAGAGAAGTCTGACTGATTGAGGAGATGATTTATTTTCACTTTCCTAAAACTTATGAAGACATCACCAAGACTAACCAAAGCTGAACAACCTGATGAAAGAATTCAACATCACAACTTTTTAAATGTTTATCTTGAATTAACATCTTATTCTTACTAGAATGAATGCTAATCTGATTCTTCATTTATGTATAAAATATTTGCTTACTCATTTTCCATCTTTCAAGGGAGAGAACATTATTTTTAATGATAATATTTACCAACTTATAAAGATAACCCCTCTCCACCCACATTTTTTTCAGTGGTCATAGAAAAAAAAATCAGACTATCTGGGTTCAGCTCACAGCTCTATACTGGTTGTACAGCCTTGCATATATCATCTAATTTCCCTGGCCTCGATTTCCTCATCTATTCTATAAAATGAGAATAACAGTCCTCATCATAGTTGTTGTGCAGATTAAATGAGTTAATATACAGAAAGCATCAGAACAGTTCCTACCAGATAATAATAATGCATGTTAGTCACTGTTATTGCTTTTATTATCAGAAGGGCTATGAGTTGGCCTATTTGACTTGCCCCAAACATGCCTCTGCTGCAGAATTAAAAAGTGGTACTTAAAACCAGGAGTTAGTCAATTCAGGAAGCATAAACAGTCATTTTGAAATATTTAGATAGATTTTTAAAAGTCAATTAAGTTTCAGTTTTTCTATTAGAATATATGAAGTCTTCTTTTAATAGACCAGGGTTTTCCCTCTATTTATGACTCATTAACATTCTGAATTTGAAGAAAACTATTTAAAATTTTAGAGAGGAATTTTAAATGTTTAACACTTAATTTAAACATTAAACATTCTGAACTGTACTATGAGAAAAAAATTAGAGTTGTCTTGCAATCTTTCACAATTTTTAGCTGTTTATAAAAACCCCTGCCTCCTAGCTTTTTCTGAGTGAAAAGAACCTTTCATATTTCTTAATATTATTACATTGGAAGATCAATAATAAAAATTATACATCACTGAAGATAACTAAAAAGGATCATACTATTTTAATAAACTACTTATTTTTAAACTGATCCTGGTGTAATAAAAAGATCCCCAAATGGGAGTTCTGACTTTGCCCCTAAACTTACTATATAATCTTGAGTAAGTTACTTAAAATTTTTGTGCTTCAGTGTCCTCATTTATAAAATAGGGGACTTAGACTAGGTGATCTCTATAAAATTATCTGACCCTATGACAATGACTCCCATTAACCTACTTTCAATGCACAGCTAAGAAATAAGAAACATATTGACAATGTTGAACCTTCTCTGAGCTCTGTGCTCTCTGAAAGCAGAAACGGTTGAGAAATCCCCCCAGCTAACTGCAAAAGACCACCCTGCTCAGAAATATTCCAGGATAAGCCTGTCTGCATCCTTCCTCGTGATTCCCTTGCTTACCCGCCTCTAGAAAACCCCAAGTCCATCTCCTTTTCTTAAAGACACTCCTCATTAATGAGCATTTTCCCTGTTGCAATAGCCTGAATGAAATCATCTCCTTACTTGTCCAGTGTGTTTTGTCTTTCGCGATATTATTAAATTCCAATGCCAAATATCCAAAATGGGGGGGTAGAGCAGGAAGGGCATGTTTGCCCTAAAAAACAATACTCACGTCCAGGTTAACTTCTGAGGACACTTACTATAATATAATTGTTCCATGAACTTTTTAGGTGCAGAAATATGGATGAGGTTGTGGAAATAATGTACAAGTGAAGTTCTGACTCCTTCTTCTCTAGGTTTCGGTTGCTCTGTAAAGGGGAGGCCGGGGAGGAATTTCCTAAGTAAAACTCATTTCCGTTCCCACTGCACTCAAAAGGGATTTCACTTTGAGAGTCTCTGTGATCTGGAAATCCCTGGGGTTCTTTTGTGTTTGCTGTGCAAGATGGCATGCTGACAGCCTTGCCAGTGGCTGATGTGGACTGAAACCTCCTCCTGGAGGGGGTAGGTAGGGGTCGAAAGGCACGTTGGCCATGACGGGACAGCTTCTTGAGGTCTGAAGGAGGACAGAGGGTTGAGTCCTTGGACGATGTGCTGCTCTCTTGGTGGCATCTGTCGGGTAGAATTTGGAGTCAAACATGATGTTCAGAATTTAACAAGGAACGAAGAGAACCCAATCACCCAACTGCAGCACTTTAAGACTCTGAAAGTAAATGTTTTCACATAAAAGGAATGGTTGTTAAGAGAAGGAAGGGATTTAATCTCACTTGCTATTACCCATTGCCCTGGGGGAGGTAGGACACAATTCTTCAATATTCTTTACTGCTTTCAGAAATACAATTCTACCCAATGTCATTTAAAGAAGCACTTTTTATATCCACAGCATTATGCCTGTCCTCCACGGAGCCCCAGTACTCCCACTGAAAGGACTTTTCATTCTAGTTTTGAAACCTGATTGTTCTTTCTTTGTGCATTTCTAATGGATCCTATAAAAAGAAAACTATTCGTATGGAGATATGAAGAGAGATTTTTCTTAATAGTGTTTTCCTTGATTCATCTCTTGCTAAACTCTTCTGACTTTTCCAATATTAGTCCAACAGCATCAGCACTTTTCTCAGAATCAATCCTGTGTCCCATCCTTCACCTGCCCTGTTCTCTCCAGCTCACCATGACCCATTTCTCTTCTCTGCTGCACAGAGAAGTGAGTCGTAGAGTATGATGGGATCTAAGTTCCAATCCTGGCTCTGCTACTCAGTGGTTAGGTGACTTTGGTTGACCCAAGCCTCAATTTCCTAATTTTAAAATAGGAACAATAATAGCACCAATCTCATAGAGTTTCTGTGAGAATTAAATAAGAAAATACATGCAATGTGTTTGTGACACTGGAAACTCAATAGGTACTAGCTGTTAATATTATCCTAGATTGCCTTGAATTGCTGGTTTATCCTGTTATATTAAGGTATCTTGTCTCCCTTATGGGACTGGAACCTCCCTGAAAGTGGGAAGCCACTTTGTTTTTATTAGTTCTTAAATTAATTTTAAACAGGCATAAAATTCATTCACTGTCTGTGCAGTGCTATGAACAGTGCTGAGTTCTAACCCTCAGCTCCCTCCCCCACTCACCTTGCATGGGAGTGCAAGCACACACATGCACACACACACATGCACACAAGTGCTCACCACAGTTCACTCATCCAAGTTCCATCCCCCGTGAACAGCCACCTTGCCCAACCCTCAGGCTTAAGGATGTGCACACTGGCGTTGTGGTCCCAGAGCGTGATCTGGAAGGGGAGCGTGAGAGCATCCCCTCCTTCCCACACTCTTCTTGCCCTCTGGAGTGCACACAGTGTGGCCAGATTTTAAACACGCGACTGAACAAATCACTGCATATGACCCACAATCCCGAATGCTGCACAGTAATTATCTTCCATTACCCTATTTCTTCATAGGATTTCTAGCACTGTTACCACGAAAAATTGGGGTTCTCTGCCCGATGCACATAAATAAGCCAATTAATTACAGCATCAGCCTTTGGGAAAAGAGATCAGCTTTATTCTCTGAGATGGATCTGCAGGGAGAACAGGGGGTGTGTGCCCTCAGATCTGTCTTCCCAGTTCAGGATTTGGGGCAAAATTTAGGAGGTTAGGGAGAACAGGCTGGCACATGGAAATGCAAGTAGGACAGGTTTTGATTGATGGGCTTCAAGCATTTATGGTAAGGTTTTAAACATCTGTGACAGAGTTCTAAACATTTAGGATGGGTTTCTAAACATTTTTGATGAGATGGGGCAGGAATTTTAACACCAGATGTTCCTGAATGAGGGACCCCTCACTTCTTTTTTTTTTTTTTTAAAGATTTTATTTATTTGTTTTTCCCCCAAAGCCCCAGTAGATAGTTGTATGTCATAGCTGCACATCCTTCTAGTTGCTGTATGTGGGACGCGGCCTCCGCATGGCTGGAGAAGCAGTGCGTCGGTGCGCGCCCGGGATCCAAACCCGGGCCGCCAGCAGCGGAGCGCGCGCACTTAACCGCTAAGTCACTGGGCCGGCCCCCTCACTTCTAATAAGAGTCTGACTTTCAAGTTCTGGTCATGTCCTGGTCCTTGGGTTCCATGGGAAGGAGGATCTATGGTTCTGCTGTCATTTCAGGTCACGATTTCTTCTTTTGTGCGTGCCCTGGCTACATGACTTTGCAGATTTTCTGAAAGGCAAGTCTTAATCACTCCGTTGACAAGAGCTGGGGTCAGGTGAACTGGTCCTGGAGGGCCCATGGCTATAGCATTATGTAACAGTGTTATCAAAGTGTCTAAGAATATAAGACTCTCATGCTATGATTTCCAGGTTAATGAAAATGTCTAGCCCAGAAATGGATGATACATACTCCAGTCCTCTTTAAAATGATAGCTTTATTTTATTCTTGCAGATAATATTTTCTAAAATTTTCTCTATGGAAATTGAAGAGAGTTAAATAACCAGTGCATAGGTTATGTTAGATAATGTTATGAAATTATGTTAAAATGTTCATTTCAGGTGCAAAATATTTTGTGTGAAAGTTCAGCAAGATGATTTCAGGTAGTTACAGAAAGTCTCACTTGAACTGACTGTTACTTACTCAGTTGTACGAAAAATCTATTACTTTGGAGAGTTAAAAAGGGTTTCTAAGAAGGATTTCTTTTTTTGGCAGCATAAACGAAAATGCCATGGACATTATAGCTTCACCAATTAAGCAAGCCAACTCATAAAACTAAACTGTATTCTTCATTTGAAAGTCAATAACACCCCCCCTTACTAGTCCAATTAAAGAGTAGTAGTTCATTACTAAGCAAGAGTTCTAGAATCTTGAATTTGCATGTGTCAACTTCATATTACAGAACTAAGTTGCTAAAAGTCAGGTGTGTTTTCTAATGAGCTGATTATGTATCTCTAGGGAGAGCCCAGCCACAAAGGAGGAAGAGATGAGAGAAGTGGGAAAGAGAACTCCGAAATCAAAACTATGCACAAATCATGTTCTTCCTTTTTCCCTCTGTATCAAAGACAGATAAACTCCTTGAGGCTGAAAACGTTAGGTTAAAAGTCACAGTCCAAAAAGCAACTGGAAAAACTGAACA